GTCACGAACTTGCCCAACACGTCACGAAAAGCATTTCCAACAGGCTATTGTGCAGACACTTATCAACAGCTACCTGCTTTCGCTGGCTCCATGTTGAATATCAAATGGCCAGAAAGAATCAAAAACAACAAGAAACTGAGGGATTGAACGAACAAGCAAGAACCTATTACTGAACAAATATGCGAACGAAAATGGAGATGGATTAGTCCGTCGAATGAAATCGCGCGCCAGGCCACCGCTTGAATGGAACACGAACGAGAAACAACAAGTTGGGCGTTTTTCTGAGGATGACATGGAGGCGACCGTGTGAGTAGGAGAAAGGAGACCACGAGGATTCGTGGGCCCAGCTAAAGACGACAGCAGAAAATAGAGCAAAGTGGAGAAGTGCTGTTGAAGCCCTATGTTCCACTCGAAGCCCAAGGGAACAACAATAATAATATAATGATAGTAAGATATGTACTTGGGACTTATCAACATAGCCTATCCACTTAAACGCATACCGAAAATATTTTTAAATGTTCAATATGACATTAATGATTTCTATCAAATGAACTAAAGTTTCTTAAAAAAGTTTATTGTTACATGATTTAATAAAACAAGGGATTGAACGTAGCTGAAGAGAAGTGTCTATTCATGCTATTTATTGATGAATGGTTTTAGACAGTTAGCAGGCGACCATTGATTAGGGTTTCGTGCTTAATGACACGTCAGTATTGTATATATGTACAGTCTTGAACAAATTGATGTTCCCACTAAGATTCAAGCCCGTGCTTTACACAATTCTGCACTTGGAGACTTTACTAGTTCGCTGTTCGAGCCCAAGACTGCTGACTTCATGTAGAAGTCTGATGGTTGTATTGCTGACAGAATTCAATCAACACTGTTCAAGATTACTCACATGACACTAGTTACTCTCCAGTGACGAGTCATTATGCTCACTGTTGTTTGTGATAATCAGTTATGAAAATGTATATACTTCCTTGATCTTGATCTGACGAAGCGGCTTTTCCTTGGGATTCTTAAGTGAATATGGCGGATAGTTGGATATACCTCATTCGGACACTATGTATCATCCATATAGCTGTATAAAATAAAGACTGTTTTCGAGTTTATTTAAGAGGAAATTGGCTAATATGGGACCAGATGAGGTGCCCATTGCCATCCCATTCACCTGTCTGTAGACTTCACCATCAAATTTAAGGTTCACATCCATGGCAGACTTCAGCAACAACTCTTTAACAACTTTTGTCGGAATCCCAATATTTACTGATTTGTCATTAATTTGTTCACATTTATAGCCAACCACTTCAACCAGCAGTACATTTGTGAATAGCGATGTCAAACCCAAAGACCCCATCTTTTTTTCTTTGATGTTAATGTCTTTAATTATGTCTACAAATCCAAACTCTTATTTCAAACTATACTTCACTACCTCCCCATGTTATGGTCTAAGAATATTTTCCAACCACTTAGCTAAGATATGGTAGGGTGCATTCAGCGTATGCAGGATTGATCACTCTACACACTAGGTTTATTCACTTTGACTAGACAGTATAATCTTGGTGTGTGTGTGTGTGCCCATGTGTTTGGGTTCCACGGATAAACTTTGAGAAGTATTGCTCTGCCTTTAGTTTCTTTAAGTGTCCGGTTATTTCACTCTCTATTTTATTATTTAAATTTTTACTCTCCTCCAGTTTTTGAAACTTCTGTTTGTCTCACAATATATCATTCGTCTTTTTAATATAATCATATCTGTCAAGGTGAACCACTCCCGATACTTTATCAGGTATTGTAATTATCAATCTTTAGTCATTTACCGATTTATTCAGAACTTCCTTTGTGTTACTTTGTCAGGATATCTTTAAAGTCGTACATTTTTTTAAATTGGTTGTAGTAATATGTACTAGGCTGGGTTTAAAGCGTTCTAGTTCTAGGTTGGGGGAGGGAATTAAGTCTCTCGTCTGACTATACACTGGTTTTCAAACTCACTATCTGTCTCTGTAGTGCTGAGAGAAAGCACCTCAAAATAAATGAATGGACACAAAATAAATCGCGCATTTATATATATATATGTATGTATATATAAATCTATCCTTATACAAACTCAAAAATTGACATCAAAGCGTATGTAACACACAAGGGCAACAGTCACAACCAATGAAGGAAGAAAACGAAGATGGTGTGAGGGAGATGTTTATTTGAACCAAGCAAGGCTTGAATTAACCGGGTACAAAGCTAATCGTCATCATTTATAACAAGTCTGGACAAACGATCTTCCTCCTGCTCCAGTAAGGCCACGTCAGCGTTTTTTTTCTGAAAAAGAGGAAGAAGAAAACTTATTTAGTGGTATTATGGTGGTTTTTATTCCATTACACGTAAATTAAGCAGCATTTTTAATTTAAACCGGTGTTTGCCAAATTCAAGTCCAACTTTATCTATTTCCACTTAAACAAACAAATGGCAGTATAGACCACTACAGAAGCCATTTGTTTACCACAGTGAAAATGAAATACACAAAAAGAATGAAGCAGGTCGACGACATCACTGATGTTTCTTATACGTTTTAGTTGATGTTCGACTAAGCTCTCAAAACACTATCAACTTAGCTAACGTACTTATGCAGTGTATTTCTATGCAAGTACGCGTGTGTGTGTGTGTGTGTGTTAGAAAGGCAGACAGAGAAATAGCATATATCTACCCTAGATGGAAAGTTGGTTAAAATCAGTTTTCAGCAATCATCTCGCTATCTAAGTTGATATAAATTAAGCATTTTCGTAATAGAAGCGTTCCAAGTGTGCTTTTCTACTCAGTATACTGATAACAACACTTAGCACAAGGAACAACATTCGAACATCTAATAATATTAACATGAAGTCTGCTCTTATATCGTCTAGAGACTTGATATACGCGCCATGAAAAGAATTTCCAACAGGCGACTGCAGACTTTCTTTGACGGCTACTTTCGCTAGATACGGAAGATGACATGGCCCGACCAACAAGGATTAGCAACTAGGAACTCTGACAGACAGCTCGTCGCCGAACAAATGTGTAGAAAGGAAAGAAGATAGATTGACCATGGGGTGAGAAGACCGCTGAATGACATCATGCAACAGATGCCCAAGTGGAATCCGAATGAGAAACGGTGACCCTGGGGTCCGAGGATGACATATAAGAGAGATGAAAGTTTGTGGGTAGTCTTAGAGCCAGAGGAAAGTAGTGATCGAGGGGAACCGAATGCAATGGAGACTTGCTACTGAAGCCTTATGCTGAACTCGGAATCCAACAGACGAAGAGCAACATATATATCATAGCATTAATAAGCCATCAATAAGGATAATTACTGTGACATGACAATACTGATCTAATTAATAAATACATCGAAAGAGAATATACAAACAATCAATAGACCAATTTGATAGTGTCTAGCCATTGGGAATGCAGTCAGTCATCTACTGTCATCTGGATGAATTCCCATCCCAATCAGCAACAATATTCTAACTGAAACTGTCACCTAGCAGTTATTTACTATTTTTTTTATATTTTTAGTTCCGAGTGGAACATAGGGCTACAAGCTTTGGCTTCGAAGTTTCAGTTACCTGGCTTACAACTTATCTATCGCAAGGTTTATGAGTGCGTCAGCCAGGGACAGAACGCCGAACCACGTGTGTGATTGGCGAGGATTCTATCGCTGAACCATCGACGCACATTGATTAAATAGGTGAAGCCATTTAACGAAATCATTCATTCACGAAAACTCAAAGTTGCAATTAAAAGAATATTATCAAATCTCAATCCGATTAATATATATATATATATATATATATATATATATATAATGAATTCTTCCGCTGCTGTTTTTTTCTTGCTAGAACTAAAAGTTATTAATATATTACTTGACAGGAGAAGTAAGAATCAATCACCCGTGTGTTTCATTCGACACCCAGCCACCGTCCCCACATCTTTTTGCTAGTTGAGCAGCAAAGAAGCTGCTGTTTTATTGTTCGTTTGTTTGTTGTTGTTGTTTTTTCACACCTTATCAGTCACAATTTAATCCATCCAACCAACGTATCATACATACATGTAGGACTGATTGATTTCTAACCGAGAATGACACCACCCTTCACCCTTCTTTTAAGGCATATACGAATATGGATTAAATTCGTTAAAAAATAATAAATAATAAATACTAATTTATTTGTATATTTCACTAAGTTGTAGTCTCCTTTTGTGTGAAAGCGAAATAGATTACAAATGTGATAAGAGAGAGAGAGAGAGAGGAAAGATTATACAAACTGGGATATGCACTGAGCACATACAAACATACATACATACATACATACACTCCCTTTAGACATTTTTAAGAAATGAAGACTTTTCCTTAAAAACCCCCATTTATGCTGTGGATATATCATCATCATCATCATCGTCATCATCATCGTCATCACCATCTCATGAATACTCAACAACAACAAACAAAGAGACACGCTTATATAGGAAAGAAGGAAGCAAGGTGAGGAAGGAGGAAGAGATGAGATCTGATTAATTATTCCACACGATGAATTGAAATACATATATATTATGCAGGAGATAATTGAAAAACAGATATATATGTCCAATACTGTCAATCTAAACAACTCGTGTCAACCAAGACAGGCTGATTTTAAGTTATACATACATATATATATATATATTTACAAAAAAGAGCATGCGAACAATTCAAGTAGAAAAATTATGCCATTACATATTTAGGGATTACTTTTAGTTTGAAAAAATTAAAATAAAAGAATATTGCCTCACGACGCCTACACATGAATAACTACGCTTGTCAAAATGTGTGTACCTTTTCTCCTGGAAATAGTAATAACAACAACAATCATAATTCTATTGGACAGAAAGTCATTAGAGCAAGTGTGAATAGGTGTTGCGCGTGCGTGCGTGCATGCGTCCGTCGGTTCATTAGTACAAGGCGGCCTGTGTGTTTTATCACTATCACATCACATCACATGACATCATGATGTCACAGTATTGAAATTATAAGTGACAACTAGAAGAAACTGGGCGTGACAGACAAAAAAACAAAAACAATCAACACATTTGTATGCGTATATAAAGGAGAGGAAATATTTCTTTCGTCAAAAGAAAAAAGCTTAATTGGAATACTGAACCAGTGGATTTTTTCAGTGAAATAATTCAGTTTACATTCGTGTATTGACAAGCGAATTCTTTGTGGATTTTTTAAAATACCTCCTGTGAATAGATAGATATAATACGCACACGGTACTTAACTTGCACTGAATAAAAAATAAACAAATAATGGATAAATTGGAACGACGTAAACTACAGGTTGGTTAAAAAAAGAAAGTGTACATTCGAATTTTCTTTTCTCTTGTTTTATCCAGTTTGTTAATTTATGGGGTATTTATTGTGTTCGACTACGTGATGATGTCAGTTAAAGTACCATTTTGAAACCAGAGCGGTCCATGAAGTGAGCTTTGACAATATTTGCTCGCCTATACTTATGCCACCGTACTTCCTTCTGCGTAGGGTCTGAGATGTCCACTCCGTTTGTGGTAAAACACTAGATGCTTTTTATTCTCTCTCATTTATTTAATTATTAGTATTTTCGAAATAATTTATTTTTTGCTTTTGGCCTTTTCTGATCTTCCTGTTGAATTTTATAGGATAGTTATTTGATACCAACGCTTCTTCTATCGGTTTCATTTCATCAATTATGTCTTTATTTTTAGCTATGTTAGATTGTGAAATATAAGGAATCGAAGAAGTTAAACTGCACACCAGTGTTTATAAAATACCAACTCACCTAATAGATATTTAGACTTTAATTGATCTCGCCCGTTAACTGTTAAGGCAGGCTTAGTTAAGTGTCTTAAAAACCGAGCAGCAGCACTAGTAGTAGTAAATAAATAAATTGTGCTCGAAAGGTCATCAGTAAACATTGCTGTATAACACTGTGACACTTTATCAAAACAAATTCTACCCATAATGGAAAACTATAAAGCTCAAGTTTCGAAGTTGTGTGGTTATAATTGATATGATTATGAACAATAGATTGTGCTCGAAATGGCATCCAGTTAAATGATACTGTCTCACCACTGTGTTATGTATCTCATTAATAAATTAATATTTTTTTTTCCTTCACGTTCCCCAGTGGAACATAGGGATTCAAGCTAGTGGCTTGAAGTTTCTGTAGCCTCATACCCAACCTTTCCTCTTCACCAGCTTTTTAGTTCTGGCTTAGCGAGGTAAAGGAGTGCGTCGGACGGGGATCGAACCCCGGACCATGTACATGGTCGGCGAGCCTCCTAACACAAATAAATTAATATAGAAGTTGACATTTAAAACACAACTCAGACAGCTGATAATTATGACAGGACAGCATTACAAAAGATCCTACTGAATTAAATAGATAAGGCTAACAGATGAGATACTACCGGAAGTAGTTCCAAGTGAAATTAATGAATACAATGGACATAACAAGGAAAGGATATACAAACTGAATAAACGAAACCAAAAAAATAAATATGGCCAAACTATAAATAGGGATCATAATATTGTTTAGCTTAGATGGATTAAGACCATGGAAGTAGGAGTGGCTCAACACACCAATTTTTTCTATACACGAAGTTCTGGCTTTTCTATTTCTATGGCCAAAGCTTCAGTAATACAGATGTGTAGGATAAGCAATGATTTGGGTAGGTTATTTTTCGTCTTGTAGGGCAACGTGAAAGGAAGAGACTGTAGAAATGAGATGACGAGATGTTCGATTACTGAGTTTGTATAGCTCCACTTGCAACCCTTCTTGACCACTCAGTATAGTACTTTCGTACCTTTTTGAACAAAACCGCATCGAGCGACCGGTATACCTAGCTTCACAAGAGCAGGTGAGATGATTGATGCGCATAGATTTGATCAGATGAAGGATCGCGTCCTGTAGATTATTGAACAGTAATGGTAGACTAGAACACGTTATTCTCAACGATACTGCAGCCAATGTCCTTTTCAAGGACAACGAGATCCTTTTAACTCTCGTCTGGTTCATATACAGCATTTTCTTGGATACAGACGTTAAATCACAGTCAGAAACAGCATATGTTTACTGTCAGAATTCATATTTTGCATACAATCGAGAAATGGCAAGGTATCACGAAGTGCATGAGTAGACAACTACTGCCTCCTGACAGGTTCGAGGATTTCACCTAGTCACTTAGCTATCGGATGGTAGGGGGAACTGAACATATCTGGAATTGGGCGGAGTAGCAGGCCAGTGACATATCGATTTGGATACTTAGATCTCCTCTGTCCTAAGAATTTGTAAAGTTCATTAGTTCGTTTATTCAGTTTAATCTTAATCTCATCGAAATGTTCTTATCTTTTGGTCAGGTACACACATTCATGTAAATTTACTAATTCTGATATAACTATACGCGTATACACTCCTACAGGAAGATCATGATAAAAATAATACTGATTGAAAATGTATTGAAAAGATTGATTACGGTTGGATTCGTACTAGAGTCCTGCGGAATACTAACGAATACTGAGTGTGGATGTGCTGCTCATTGGCTAGTGCACTTTACCTTCGATCAATGAGTCCTTCCCATCATAGATGTGGACTCAGAGCGTGGTACTGAGAAAATCTGTGCCGTATAGTTGAATTCTGAGTAACTAACAAATTCCATATTCATTAATTTATTTACTGATTAGGCGTATCACATAGGGAAACAGTTCCACCTACTGAATGACTTTTATCACGCAATTTATTGTTCATAATCATATCAATTGTGATCGCATAACTTTGAAACTTGCTTTCTGTAGCTCTCGTTCTTCCACATGTTAGAATTTTCCACATGTTTGTATTGCGTGGTGAACCAGTCCTACTAAAGTCACCAATCTCTGCCTTCATCCTGATATATTAGGTTTTGAGACAGTCACCCTGTCGCATCCTTTTCACTCTGTCTGGTTGTGTACAACCACATGTAGTGATCATGATAACGAAAATAATAGTAGCTGCATCCTATAAAATATCTCTGCACACAATATAGAGTTCTCAGAGTAAATTCTTGCAAAATATTTACTACCCGTGTGGAATCTTGAAGTAAAATATTAACAGACGGTATATCGTGTGATGCAACGTTGTTCACTATCAAGCAGGATTCAATCCTCTGAGACAGTTTCCCTTCATTTTCTTTCTAAAATGAATGCACAGTCATAGATTGAAAGCCAACTGAAAGCGTGTGTGTGTGTGTGAGAGAGAGTACGTTTTACGACCAAAAGACATAAGTGAATGGCTGTTAGATTAAGAGATGGCTGTTTAGGGTAGCTCAGTGGTTTAAGCAGGTCACCCATGTAGATAAGGTTTTTTCTAAATTCCTTATCTTAATAAGGTGTACTAGTCTAGCTTTCGCTAAGTTTTTGTGCTTCGCTCATCTAACTCCGGTCACTACTTCCATCTATGCATTTTGACCTCACAATCGTTTCGATGTATAAGATGAAGTAAATTATTTTGTGTAATGGGCTCCACAGGATTCTTAAACCCACATAATTTGTCTCTAAGTCAATTTTGTAGGCTTGAATGTCACTTTCACTACTGTCTTGTTATGAATCATACGCAAGGTTCCACAGGTTCCTCCTTTCTTTGATAGCAATACTGACGTCTTTAACTCCCTCCTTTCGGTGTCGTTATCTTTCTCCGTAAGTTTGTCATTCATGTCGTTCTTATTATAATCATCTTATGTGGCATTGCGGTTAGGACGCTCACCGACCATGCACATAGTCCTGAGTTCGATCCCCGGCCGACGCATACCTGATACCAATAGTCGGCCTGCTAAATTTGGGCTACCGATATCACATGCTGAAAATTCCATACTTGTATCAAAATTACTGTGTAACGTCAAGCAACAATAAAAATAAAATTAAGAAAACATTTCCCATATACTTCCTGATTAATTTATCAGGGCCTTCAGCTTGAAGCTTTACACCCCCATCAGAACGAATAAATATTTCCCACGAGAATAGCATGTGCCTTTATTCTGCGTTGGAATATTTCTGTTCTGCTGATAGTTTTGCATTTCCACTTATCATACTCAGATGTTGATATTACTCTTCTGATCCTGTGTTAAATTATAATTGTTACTTTTCTATCTTAAATATTCTAAATAAGAAATCAGAAACTGAAAAATTACGACGTAGACGAATCAGGGATCTTCTCATTCATCTTCGCTTTATGCTCAAATTGGATGAGAATGTAAGTTGCTTACTTTTTATTATTATTGAGAATAATGATGATTTGAAGGCACTTGCAAAAGTAAAATTATTATTATTACTATTATATTATTACTAAGACATTAACTGATCATCATAATCATCATACACCTTTGGTATATATGATGAGGGAACACAATCATAACCGTGCAATTCTAATCCCCTCTTTAACGCATTTAGCAAAACACTACTCAGTCTAGCTGAAAATTTGTTGGAATTATCATCATGAATCTGCTCTTGTTCGATATTTTGGGATGAAGACATGTAGTCCCAGTCGGTATATCGGCTTCTATTACGAACATTTCAGTGATGTCGTGATGTCAACACAGTGTTATTTGATTGATGTGGGCTACCAGTGGATGGACCCCTGGAAGTGCGTTCCTTCTCATCGGAAACACTATCAGTTATCGGGGTTGCAGATACAACCTGTGCGTCGGTGGCACAGTGGTTAGGACTCTCGTTGACCATGCACATGGTCCGGGGTTCGATCCCCTGCCGGCGCACACCCGATATCTATGGTCGGCCTGAATTTGGGCTACCGATATCCATGCTGAAAGTTCCATAGTTGGACTGAAAATACGGTGTGGAATGAAGCTGTAAAACAAAAAAACCTGCTCGTGAATCCAGAGTAGGAGGAATCTCACACATTTCAGATTCCATTTGTAGCTACCACCAATAAATTGTCCGCAATCAGTATATCTCTAGATAAGTGAATAAGACAGGATACTTTATATACCTGTAATCACAACATTCTGGATGATTGATTATTGATGAATAATAAATATTCCTTCTCCTAAAAGGCACACTTCATCAACCCCGTGAAAATCAATCTGCTGAAATTATTAAACATATTGAAACTGTTACCAAAAGAAAATTGCAACTAAACATTTTCACACCGAGTATAAGAGAACAAGTTACTCACATATGAAGGTGAGTAGAAGCAGGACAAAGTAGTAAGATGCCAACCAGTGGCGAGATCTGAGAGAAATGCATCTGAGGAGAGAATAATGGAAGACAGTGAACAAGAGGTTATTAATTGAAATCGCTGTTTCTTCACAACCCTCGACAATAGAAATTCACAGAATCAATCAGTAGAAATGTTAGAGAATTTTCAGCTTAACAGGTGAAATATATTTACTACACACCAGTACAGGCTAGTGAATACGTTTCACCGGAGTATTTTGAACTTATTAGAAGAAAATAACTCTGAATTCCAAAAGTCTGTAGAAGTAGTCTTGCCCCAACCAACAGAGACTCATGGAGGTGTATTTGCAGGAGAGAGAAGTAATGAGCCAACAAGTGAATGGTGTATGGATTCATCCTGCAACCTGAAGGTCATGGTTTCGATCTCTGTTGGGGTCATGTGTGGATACTTCTGAAGAGCTCCGAACGAGTGTGAAACAGCCGTCCACTACTCCACCTCTGGTTTTCAGTAGTACTGTAACCGGAATCACCTTGTGATCAAACTTCATAACAACACAGACGGTGAAAAATACCATTAACAAAATAATACTACAAATTAATATGTATCTAGTTGTATCGTACCAAACAGGATGCAAAGCATAGCCTGAATTCCAACTTAAACAACTAATCCCATAGTGAGTTGAGAATATTTCCAGTTGCAGATTTTGTCTAGTCTCCATAATCATACCAACACAGTTCAAAATACGATGCTGTACAGAGTGTTTCATGTCTTTTCTTATTCTCTCTCTCTGTCTCTCTACCTCTTATTATCTCCACTTGTTCTAGGTGTCACGGATCGAAATATTAAGGAATGCAGTAGACAGACTGAAGACAACACAGTCAACTGGTGTTTATAACCCTGAATATACTTGTGATAGGTCAAGAAACATCAATCAGCAACTTGAAAAAAGAACCCCGAATATTCAGTTTCATCCTCAGGTTGACCAGGTAATTTCCATTTTTTAAAAACACATCTCAAAGGATTTCTTCTCTGAAATGTGTTCTTTGATTTCTCAGTGGATATAATTACCTTTATTCAAGTTGATCAAAGGCGTCCACTACAAATTACGTAACACTGATTAGTCAACAAAAACACCTCAAAAATATCCAGTCCAATGACATCGAAATTCCAAGAGGTATATGCGGAAAAACTGTTAGTTGTGATTATAATTCATCACATGTATATACGATAATCTGTGTGAATATAACACCAGATTGAACGCCATATTTCACACATAGATGAAGGATCACGAAAAATATCCAGATTTGATTTGATTTGATTTAGACTGAGTATAAACTTCATATGAGAGTCAATAATATTATCAAATGCAGGGTGAAAATTGGAGTAGGTATTCTCGACCACGGAAAATTACGTTCCTAGAGTAAACCACCGGCCTTCATGAGATTGCATCTCAAAGATGACATGCCAAGTGAAGTAGTAACCAAGAGACTAAGAAAATCACTTCAAAAGCTCGTGTTGTCGGTAAATTCCTGTTACGACTCCCAAAATGAAAGACGGGCGCTCAGGCTAACTACCTCTTCCTGTATGGACCAATCTAATTGTTTCTGTAGAGCCAGTTATATTGGCCATGGCTCTGCGAACTTCATTTTTGGTTCTCAGCAACACCTACGGGTATGGGTAAATAAGGATGTAGTGAAAAGCACTAAACAGCCGAAATTTTGTGTACAAAAGAAACAAGTCCAGGTGTTCTTCCTGTTTTCGATATTTTCGTTCATTCATCTGAAGTTTATAATCAGTCTGAAAAAAATCGATTGTGAACATTAATTTAAAACAAGCAATACAGGTTAGTAAAGCAGGATTTAATGAATTCATGAAAATTCGGTGGAACTCGTTAGCTGAATACTCCTGCTTTACTAACATTTATTGCTTGTTTTAAATTCGTATCGGGTGAACATTAATCATGGCTATGCATTATTAGTATATATTCACTGCTTACTACTCGAGATACTTTTCTATGTCTAATCTTCAATTTAGTGTTACAATAGGTAGATTATCTATCACACACTCAAACACTGACTCATGTCTCTGAACTATAATCTGTCAACAATTGATTCACATGGTTTCAGGTGAGCTATTAAAAATCATGGAGAAGTGGAACAATCATTTTGTCTTCGCTTAAAGCTGTTTCAACGTCTGTAGTTGCAAGGTTAAATGGAGGCGACGGAACAACTGTTATGTATATATATATATATATATATATGTTGGCGATCATATTAGTATTCAATCAGTCAGTGATATATTAAACCCTATTTTGTAATGCATTATTTCCTTGTGAAGCATCAGTAATCAAGTGAAAACAGTCTTATTCCACACTTGCGTCACAAAGTCTCTCATATTTAACATACTTGAAGGTATGCCTAGCCTTTAGGACTTTACCAAGACTATATACCTTCTTTCAGTGCAATAGTTTAATCATGAAGTTTTAGCATGCATTATACGTATATCAGACAACTGTTCTTTCATTTCTAAGATTATTATCCATCATAGTTTTGCAAACAACAGTAACAGTCTCAGGATTGTAGTATCCAGCTCAGAGAATGCGCCAACACTAAGGCAATAATCCCAGGCCACACATCTTTCTCACTATAATATCATTAAAAATTGCACTCCAAATACATTGCACGTCTAAACAGTGTTGTTATTTTGCTTTTAGCGTCATGGTTATGGTTACAAAGTGAAATGCATTCAAAAGAGGATTTTCCATTGGACTCAGTGTAAGATAATAGGTGTAGTGTTTGCTTAAATATCATTCATCAACGATTCCTGTGGAATGACTTCCTCATCGTCTGATGTGTGATTTAATGTCATTTACATTCTAAGTGAATTATATTTCCATCCTTTGCACATAAATTATGAAAACCAAAAGCCACGTGTTATTTCTCACCCTGGAAATTTTGATCAACACCTCTGGCTTTGGTAATCATGGCCAGCTTACAGACTGTGCTGAATGCATTTTCTTCTTATTTTCTTAAAATTGATGAAATGGCAGAATCGAATTCAAAAGCTAATCGTAAACAGGACAGTGGTAAAATATATTTCGAAGACAAAGTGTACAGTACTCAAATAATTGTTGTTTATCTTTATTCTTGTTTCTTCGATAGATGAAAATCCCTAGAGCTACTGTGGAACAGTATCGTCGACATCTTGAGCGAGTTGAATACGATCGCATACGTTCACTTCTCGGTTGTGATGAAAAGGTTAGTAGTTCCTACCACTTATTTTTCTATACATTCTAGTTGTGTGTGTGTGTGTTTGTTGCGTGGATAACGACTATAATATGCGTGTGTTATTGTATTCCAACTCATCTGTACTGATCTAAGATAGCCCAGAAGGCGCTAGTAAAGAGAATCAGGAGAGGAAATTCATTGATCCAAATAAGACGTATGTTTCCAGACCGAGATGACTGCTTAACTAACTAGAGACAGTTCACAAACAACTGACAGTAAGATGACAGCGTGTTATACGGAAAACGTGCTTGACAAATGGCCATCAGCTTCATCTTCACACAACAAGGATGGCTCATCGCTAACTACTTGGAAATAAAAGTGGTGTTCATGGAAATAGTAGAATCCAGCCTAACAAATAAACTCGATTATTACTCGTTTGCTCAATCTAAATGGATATTTTCTCACAGAGTGACATGAGCTGATATTTCAGTTTAGTTTACAAGTGCTTAACCGAGTGACAAGGGGCCGCCACAATTCATCGAAATCCTGGCCAGATAGCGGTATAATCAATTCTCGCACAATAGGTACACCTTGTAGCATAAAACATTGGAATGAATGCAGCTTCTGAGGAACTTCGTTACTATCTTTATTTGCCTAACCGATTTTGTGAAACCGCAACCACATTATGGGGGGATACGGGTATAGTCGTGTGAAATAATGATAGTCACTTCACTAATTAACTAAATGCATCAAAAATTTAATAACCCCTGAATTCTAGTCAGCACCAATTTATGATGTGCCATATCAGACCACTCAAGATTAGCTATTTTCAAATCCATCTTGGCTATCATACTTCATGATAATCATGCTCAAACATAACAGGCGAATAATTATATTGGCAGACAATGTTAGCAGCTGAAGAGGCGATCAAGTTTCTTAGAATCAAATCCATCATTTGATCCTTTGTATTGCCAGTGTGCTCGAACAGCTAGCCGGAATTTGGGTGGTTTGAATCGATCCCACTCTCTGAGGTGAGTCTGTCAGGGACACTGATGATGAATTAAGTGCAGACGACCCAAACGACTGTCCAGTGTTTAAATAAATTCTATCTGGTTAGTGAGCACTCTTATCTCAGATAAGTGATCCCCAAGTACTCATATCGATCAATGAGTAGTAAGCTGTGTCATGCTAGTTCCGTCTCTCGTTGATTAAAACTGTCTAAGGGAGTATAGTATAGACCCTTTGCAAGTCATAGATAACATAACTTTGAAGCAATACAGTAATGCAAGTTTATGCAATCTTTGATCCCTTTCTAAAATCTAAAGTATACTGTTGCTTGTTTTCCCTTACATCTATCCACCGTTCAAATGAACCTAATATTTTCCCAATTATTGAAAATCTCCTATGTGGTTCTGAGGTTTAAACTGCAGTCTTTATGCATACATCTCTGAGGCGCTGAATAAGTCGATAGTGAGGCTTTTCCGAACCCTGTAGAAACTCTCTTGTCGTCCTACAAGCGCCTAGATATGTCATCCACAAGTTGGTAGTTACGATGACGACTGCGAAAAATTAAATTCTGCTCCCCGTTCAATCGAAGCCCCACATTTCACGTTTGTAGTCACATAGTACGCATACTGCCAGAGTGAAGCAGATAGTTGTCTGATGATACATTACTTTGTTTATTTGACATAAAATAAAATGATCACGGAAATCCTCCACACACACAAACACACATCCCTGATGTACATACATCTATCTATATATCTTGATTCACTACTGTGTATCGAAGCTTGAAAATATCATTCAATGGGTGACCAATGATGGCTATATTACAAATTTGACTGCTAGAATTCGGTATGGACCGAGTGAAGGATTATGTGTATGACAAAAGGTACTTACTGCCTAATGTTCAGTCAAAATATCAGTCAAACACACTCAGTTCAATACACACCAAGCTCATGATATCCCGTTCTTCCTCCGAAATTTCGACCGTATAAAACTGTATCTCTGCTATTGAATAACTCATAAATTTCTATGTGATCTTTATAATAGGCTTCTGAAAACTATTATCGACATAAAAACAAAATGCTCACATCCCAACTCCACAACCTACACTACTCTACACTAAGTAGTTAGACAGGAACTAGACTATTTTTGAACGTCATCTAAACCACAGGAAACCGAGGTGAAAGTGAAACTCGACCTATGCGTTTTGCGAATGCTTAAATCTATTCCATCTTTCTTATTCATCAGCCTAACTTCTCTGAACTGAGGGAGGCTCAACGATTTGGCCATCTGAGCCCAATCCCTTCGCACAAGCTGAAGACGACTTCAGTCGTGAAACGTCCAAATGATACTCGAATATTTACGTAGCATGCATTACGATTTTCAAAGCTCATGTCACTAAGAAGTTTAAGTTTCATAATTAGTAAGTGAATTGGCGACCATCAGAGGGTATTGATAACACCTTGAGTAAACTGGTTCAGAGTTTCACACCTGAAGGAAACAACTGTTCAGTAGTCCTTGGTATTTAATGCTAGTTTTGAATTCGGGCGGCTATTATTACTATTCGGATACTTCGTATCGTTAATAGAATAACCGTTAGTCATTCAGTGGATAAATGCTTGTTTTATTTTGAGACGCCTGACATCTTGTTTTCGTTTCACTCTACAGTCTAGCATAGGTAACTAACTTACCCTGGTCATCTTTCAGACCGAAAGTGAATTCGACTCCATTTACCACTGAGTTCATTGGTGTGTAAAAACTTAGGGATATGCTCGAACTTCAACACAGTGAATGAGTCATCCACATATCCCGCCAGCCCCCCCCCCCATAACATTGGAGGAGCTTGTTTCTTCTTTGACTTCTTGAAATAGTGTGAAAGAAATTCAATGTAATAATTCATTCTCAATCCTTGAATGATCAATATGTAATGTTGTGGAAACTAGAGGGTGGTTGAGTAATCTAAATTCAATTGTATCTATGTACATATTCTTATCCTACCTAACATCCATTTTCCCTATTAAAGGAGTGCTCAGTAAGATAAAAGTGCCATCTTTTGTGCTACATACTCATTGTAGAAAAGTAGCAAGTTATAGTATCATTTTTTTATTTTGTAGTTAAGCGTTTCGTTGGAAAGTTGTGTATCACTCGTATTAGTGTAACTTAAAACAAGCAACAACTTTGAAAGAAGCAGTATTGAATGGATTTATAAATTTCAGTAGGACTCGTCACCTTAATACTCTATGAACATTATTAGTGATATAAATTTTTAAGATTAAATGCATAAAAACACATAAACACTGTTACATGAATAGAATATACTGCCTTAAAGGACTATATAAGAATAGCTGACATATACCTATGGTATATTGACGACATATTCATAGTATGCAGAGGTACGGTCAAAGTCGAGATAATGTTAGGAGAATTCAATTCATACCATGCTAGTATAAAATTTACAGTGGAACATGAACATAATGACTCCACACATTTTTTGGATGAAAATCTGTTCAGGCGGGCTGACAGAACTCTAGAAAGAGAGAGTGAGAGAGAGATGGAGCTATGTACAGAAAGCCAACTTAGGGAGGAAAATTCGTACATTTCAATAGCTTCCTTCCCGCCCAATACTAAAGCAGTGTGGTTAGAACATTATTCGCTAGAACAAGAAGGATATGTTCAAGTAGCAGACTAGACTATGAAGAGAAATTCTTGAGGGAGATACTATTGAGAAATGAGTATTCGAAACGAGTGAACGAACCTATGATACTGCTGATGTGTTACTCACAAGCACAACAAAGGCGATAGTCCAAGCAACAGGCAAAGACGAGACATCGACCCTAGCCACATCAAAATGTGTACATCAGTTTTACTTGTGTTTATGAAAGCCAATGCATTGGACTTACGGAAAGATATCTGTCAGTTCGCGCTGGCGTATAGTTCCTCAAATAGATTTCTAGTACTCATGATGGCATCCCAAGGGACTAAATCACATGACATTTATTCGACTGTGATCATACAGTAATGCTGAGTAAAAGCTTTATAGTTATTATCAAGCTATTTTAACTAACCAGATTTATAGAAGCCGGATTTGTTTGTGTATGCAGAAGGAGACAGTAGTTAGCTTAAATCTACTTTGGTAGCACACTTTAATCATACCTTTATAATTTGCTTCCTTTCCCTCTTCTTTTTACAACACTTTTCCCATAATTATTAGTAGTGTTACTATTATCATTATTTTATCTGGTGTGTTGTTTGTTTGCCTATGATATGTGCAAATCGAAAATCATAGTTGATGATCTTGATGAGGAGTGTTCCGACTATCGCTTATGAGCTTCAACCAGACATGTTGAAATCGTGTTATATAGTTCAATATGGTATAGATGTCTTTATTACAAAGTTTCCTTGAAATTTCAGCATTGTTATCATATTTAGATGTTTATAACTGCATTAATTCTACGACAATCACTCCATTCTGTAATGTTAATAGTGTACCTTGATTGATGAATATTATTCACTTAATAATAAAGACATTAACAGATTACCGCTCACATTCATCATTTTTAGATCATAGATTTGTTGAAACTGATTCTTAATTGTTGTCACAATGTTCATGTGTTTGCATGTGTGTAGGTTAAACTTAAAAAGCAGTTGTATAAATAACAATGTTTATAGAGGAGTATTCAGCTGACGAGTCCCTCCTCCATTGAAATTTATGAATTCGTCTAAATACTACTTTTTACCACAGTTGTTGCTTGCTTTAAATTTACTATGAGAAAGAAATATTTTCAATTATTATCATCATTATTTTTATTATTACTGATGCATCTAAACCCCATATGTTTACACACACACACAAAATTTATAGTTTGCTTTATTTTTCCTCTATTTCTGTTGTATTTTTTCTTTCCATGTGAAATGCACACCATTTTATTAGGTATCAGAGATTCGTTTACTGGATAAGTTAATTGAAACCATAGAAGACCAAGAGAATCAGAATAGTAATAGTAATGATTTCTGCAAAGACAAAATAATCAAATCAACTAGACTGACAACACTAACAACACAAAATACTGAAAGAAGAAGGCAAGGCTTAAAACTACTGGATACAAATCAACCAACTCGTTCCGTTCAATATCCCAATGTAAATAATAATACTGATAATAATATGGATAAAGAAATCAATGAATCACAACAACCATGTAACAAATCAATCGAACCGCCTAGTAGACATAATGAAAATGTTTCTAACATCAAGAGGTGTTGGCGACCATGGGAAGATAATTAGATATAATTATTTGACAAGTCGACAACTAATTAATTCACTTTACATCACTTTCATCCATCTCAGTCTATCTGTGATTTCGTTGTACTAACGTCGTTTTTTTGTTGTTGATTGTTTGAAAGTTATTGTACATACTGCGTGAGTTTGTTAAATATATACTAAAATTTGAAACTTAATTCTATCGATAGTGTGTTTCAAGTATGGTGATACTGGGTATGGGTTTTTTATACTGATCATGTCGGAAAACTACCTCCTAATGCATCTATTCCTCTGAACTAAGATAATTGGTGAGTCACTGTACTCTCTGTGCCATTTTTAGTACCGCTGATTATAATTCGGTTCAACTGGTAGCGTAGTGGCTTTAAGACACCTGATACAACTGCGGAGAATACCAATCAAGTTGCTTACACGTCCATCAACATGTGTCTAAGGTGAAATACATAATTCTGTATCAACTCAATATAAGAGCATTTCGCAAAGGGATGGTTAACATCCAATCCAATAAAAAAACTAAAAGATTCAGATGATGGCACCCCGTAAGAAAACATAGTACTTATGTGGTGATAGATGGTTGCTAACCAAATTGGTAGACAGTAATTGACGTCAATGTTTATGTCTCAAATATTAGTCATGTGAAAACAAGGTCAGAGATGGACGGCAGACTTTGCGTAGGCGGATACAGTTAGCATACGGATGATCTGACACAGCCACAAAGAGATGCAAGGTTAACTTACTGTGAGAAACAACCAATCCAAAGACTGTATTTTCTACTAACAATAATCCACCATATTGTACATTAAAATCTATAAATATGTGTTGATTTTCCTTAATAAACGATCTGTTGCCTGACTCTTGCCTTCTGTCGTTACACTTAAATTGACTGAATCAGGAAACAAAGTATAGAATCTGGGTGATACATGAAGTGTAACAACTTGAACTGTTGCACTTCTTTGCAAATTCGTCTGTTGAAATTCAGTGAGTCAGGTTGTTGCGGAGACTTATGAGACGCTTTCGCTCCTCGTTATGTTCTCACCTGACTGGAATCAGTCTTCTTGTGTGTATCAGTCCGGATAAAGCAGGAGAAATACAGTGGCACTTACTAACTTTAGCTTGCAGGTTATCAACAGTCTTTACCACTGTTTCTGCAACTGACGGGATATTATGCCAGACGAAGATGGGCGATGATCAGGAAAGCCTTGTGTGCTTGTGTAAGTGATTGGGCGGTTACTACTTCCCACCTGCCCACAATATAGAAGTTGATTTCTTATTGAAATACCTGAAACAGTAGGAGCATTAGTGCTGCATGATTTCAAAGTCAATGGGACAACTACTCCTGGTCAGTAACATACAGCCTCTTTCAAGTGGCTTTTACATATGTTTCCATCTCGTCTCCTGCTATGAACCACTGGCAATCACAGAGACGAGAGACAGAAAATATGGCCTGTTCGTCGACTGAGGGAGACACCTAGCTGTTTTCACGACCCCACTCACCAACGGTGGGACTTTGCCCTCTGACCACCAACATAGTATAAGCGAATTAAACACTGATGATGACTACTTTTAGTCTGACCGCGATTCGGGTTACTTTTCTGGCATGGTGGACCTGCAGAAACACTCTGTTCAGCCAATGTAGGACATCGGGTCGAGTTTTGCAAGCCTTCAAGTTAGCAGCTATCGGTTGGAGGCAACGAATGAATCCTTGCATCAACCCAGGTTAGAAATGGAAGTGCTCTAACGAAGCAATATGGAACACCAGTCAAAGTGAGTACTACTAAGTGAAACCGACCCTACAACACTTTGTAACCTTAGAAGACTTTACGTATAGTTGTGCTGTTTCACGCAATATTAAACCCTACTTAGCAAACATAGTAAATTAAAACGTTCCACTCATCCACCTTGGGCAGCATTAAAGCACATTTTAAACAAATTGTGAGTTGTATGAGATCTGATTAATACAGCTCACTAACGAAATTTTCCAGTTTATGCTTGCGACAATCACAACCCATTTATGGAGTGGTGAAAAACGCCATTATTTTCGCGTCTGCACTTCAAGGAAGATACTCCGACGGACAATCTATCCCAACGTCTCACCACAGTTCAACCTAGATTACACTCGAATCAGGTGAACAGTGGATTATGAATGTGACAATCAGTCCAACTTTATGGATCCTAGCATGAAACGAAGAGATGATAAAGGAATTGAAAAAATTTCTATCAAGAGGATAGATAGACCGGGTAGTACGTAAATTATCAGTTTCGGCTCAATTGGCTACAGGTAAAGTTTGGATGAAAACCTCTACATCAGTGCAAGAGCGTCACGTTCAAAAACTTACTGTGATGAGGAGCTCACGATTGTTGGGAGGAGTCTTATGGAAAATGGAATTTCAAAGAAGTCCATAATAATAATAATAATAATAATGGCTTTATTCCAAACAGCATTTGTGGTACAGGTATGGAATTTTCAGCGTTCATTACAATATTGCATCTAATTACCTCATAAATTTTATAAGGATTTAAAATTATAAAGCAACAACAACAAAAAGAAAAAAGAGAAATAAAAGAAATAAAAAAGAACAGTATTGCATCCACATATTTAAACAATGCACCACAGGATATGATATATAAAATTAGTTTGTAATAGAATATATGAGCAACAATATAATAGTAACAAAGAAAGGAGAACAAAAGCTAATGGGAACTATTTGTTACAGTGCCGCAGTAAGGTGAGTATAGATGAGGGGAAATGTCCATATCGAATCTCGTAATAATTGTGTAAAAACCATATTAGTTTGTTTATTAGATGTATCACACAGTGAAACAGTATTATTTACTGGATGACGTTTCGAACAAAATTTATTGTTCATAATCATCCAGTAAATAATACTGTTTCACTATGTGATGCATCCAATAAACAAACTAATATGGAATTACTTACTACCACAGTGCCCAATTTTTACACATATATGAGTAATAACCAGTTTTTATGTGCGTTGTGTGAAACAGCGAAAGTGGTAGAAAAGGCATCGGTGGTAGGTAACACCAGACAACTATTTAGGCTTATTAGGAAAACAGGCTGCAAAAAGTAGGCAGATGATAAGTGAGACAATCTCCAATAAAAGCAGCGTCTTAATTAGCTCTCAGGGTAGACGACTGGGACGTTGGAAAGAATATTTTAGGGAGCAATGTAACTGGCCACCAGACACACTATTTGCCCACCATCCAACACCAGCCTGATTTGGATACCCCGATTTACAACTGAGGTTACACAGGCTATCTCTGATCTGAAACGAGGTAAAGCAACAGACACTGATGGAATGACTCCAAAGGAGTTTAAGTACAATGTTGTCCAACTGATATCTGGGTTGGTTAGGGCTTTAGGCAAAGTCTTGAAATCAGAAATAGACCCACTAGACTGTTGTAAGTCACTGCTTATCACAGTTGGTGAGAAGGGCGAAAAGTGTTCCTATAATAGCCATGGGAGCATAAGCTCAACTAACATAGTATCTAAGTTCCGTAATCATGTATAGACTAAGTGGTGCCCGAGAGAAACAAATCCGAGAAAGCCAGTCGAGCTTCATGCCAAGAGGGCTGTGTATTGATTATACATCCATCCTTTGACACACTCCAAAACATAGGCGTACTCACCAGCACCCAACACTAGCTGTATTTCTTGACTTGAAAGCTGAATTTGACTCTGTAGACTGAGATGTGTTATGGAAATTTCAGCGGTGAAGGGGGTGCCGAGAAAGTATATCGCAACAAACAAGACACTCTACTCGGAGTTCATGTAGCCGTTTAAGAGTTTGAAGACAATTGTCATCTAAAATGATGACAACTAGGAGTATCCATCAGGGATGCCCACTATCCTCATTTCTGTTTAAATTCATCATAAATGAACTAACGAAATCGACCCTAATTGACTACAGCAACTTATAGATTGACTCGCTACCAAGGGACGGTCTTGTTCACTCAGAATATGCGGATGATATTGTCCTCCTAGGTGAAGACGCTGATAAAATACTGAGTCTTCTGTGCACCTTGAGCAGAAACCTTCGAATGTTTGGCATGACAATCACCCCTGTCAGATGTAGGATGATGCTGCAGGACTGAACCGCACTGAATACTAACTTAAACATAGGGAGTGAAGTGGTTCAGCGTGTCTACCACTTCACATATTTGGAAAGTTGTATCAGCTGCAATGAACGGTTTCCCCGATGAAATCTTATGGCTAATAAAAGGACTCGTGTGTCATTATGCAAAAGAAATTCATGCCTGGCGTAGGTGTGATATCAGGTTGTCAGTCAGAAGAGGTATGTAATGAACAACAATTCACTCTGTCCTCAGTCATGGTCATGAGACGTGGCTGCTGAGAGTGAAACATGTGAAGAGGCCAGTTGTCTTTGACCATATGTGTCGGTGTTCCATCTCCTGTACTCATTAGTACAATGTGATGGTATGAGCAACACTGAGGTTACGCGTGGTGTTAAGTGAGGAAAGAGAATTGACCGATGAGGTGGTTAAAATATAAATAGGCTCAGATGGCTATAACACGTACCGCCTATATCAGGCTATCACCCTCCTACATGGGCAATGTTAACCGATATGGCATTAGATTGGAAAAGAGTCGGTAGCGGTCAAGCTAAAATCTGGGATCAGTCCATGAAGTCTTTGACATTTGGTTTGAGCCACACTGGGAGTTGTAGGCTGTCTGGTTGGGGTCCACGGGATGCTAAGAAATAATGACTGGTGATATGGCTAAAAATAGCGCAGGCGAATTCACTCTCTGTGATCTGCCATATCTATTAGACCATCACGTCCTCCATGTTCTTATTTCTTCTCCTACACATTTCTGATTCATATACTTCATTTGTATCTGTTTTCCCTTCTTTTGTCTTCGTTTGTATGCCACATGGCGTGTGATAACTTGAACTGCTGCAATTCTACAATGAGTTCTATGGTGAAAGCCAGTCAATCAGTCACAAAATGGAAGAACAAGGATGAGCTCGTTTAATGTCGATGGGCATTTGGATTTCATCAAGGTATGGAAAATTCTCATGTGATGTGAATAAGGAAGAAGTAAGTCAACAAAGAGACCTCGCAATGTCTCATCAAAGCTGCACAGTTATCTATAGTTTCATATGCACAATGCCAATTGTCAATAAGGGTCAGAGGCTTTTGTGATTTAGTAACAAAGATAAATGAAAGTATTTGAGAAGTAGCAATGTGTAATAAATGTCGAATGGTCTCGCATAATCCAACCAATCGATTAAAGGGTGATAAGAAAGAAGCACACAGAGAATCGAAGGTGTGTCCTGAGAAGAATCTATATGAAGTTCACTATGCAAGAGGTGGGGTCAACGCTGAGGCTGAGAAGACCTTTCTGAGCACAAAGCCAAGATGTTTTCCTTGAGGATGGCAAGAGCTTCGACTGCATGAAGATGTAAGCGAAATCCCCTTGACCGGCCCAATGTTACTTTAAATATCACGCTGAATGGAGTCTCTGATGATGATGATGATGCATGACCAGCAGTAATAATGCACAACAGAATTGAACTCGTCTATGTCCACCCTTGAACAGTTGTGTTGCTGGATGTTCATGTGAACGTCCACCTTTTCCACTTCCTTCGCTTACGTCGCCCGCCACTGTTCATAGTCATTGTGAAGACTCCTTGTTATTTTGCGTCTGACCAGCTTTCGCTACTCATCATAATCAGAGCTCGCAGGAATCAGTCTTCTTGTCTTAATCAGTTCGGATGACGTAAAAGAAATCCACTGGCCTTCATTTACTTTTGGTTTTATGTTATTGACAGCTTTTACAGCTAACTATATATTATACCAGGATTCCTCAGGAGGAATCTTGTTTTTGTAGACCTCAGATACTAGTTTCGCTATTTATTTCTTACATAGGGACTCAATGTCTTGATCTAATTGGGGAAGTAATTGCTTCGCTGCCAACAATATTTTATGTCCATTTAATCGCAAGCATAGACGTGCGCGAACTGGGGCGAGATCGGAGCCTACGCACGTGTTCCAGAAGAAGACGTGGTCTTCTACTGACCCTCGCTAACGATACCCTATCGCTATGCAGTCATTCTGAGTTAAATGTTGAAGTGGTGATGGAGGTCACTAGGATATGCAGTCTCTCCTTCTTCCGAAAGTTATTGCTGAATACGAACAGATGATTATCTGAACAGAACTGTAGAAGACGATCATCGTAGTCGGTCCGTCGGCAGGGAACTCGATAGGTACCACCTATGAAGTTCTCAGTTTGGTATAAGTGAAACGAAGTACAACAATGGAACAGGATATGATGTCATGACTCCAGAAGTGTTAAGGATGGTGGGGATGAACTACCGCCCGTTTAAATAAGATATTACGTAGTGCCTTGGAATCAGAAAATCCCGTTTACCGGTATGAAACATTGCTTATCCCAGTTTATAAGAAGGGATAAAAGTTGGAACATGAACCACATAACGGATCGGGGATCACAAGGGTATTCATACTAATCAAGCACCTAAAGACAGATACCCAAACAAATTATACCTGGCCTCTTTAAGAGTATCGGTGAGACTCTAGTCAGAATGCTGACTGGATTATTCAGGAAAGTATGGGAAAGTGAGGATGCCCCACCAATGTGGAGTGAAGGTATTATCATACTTATCTTTAAAAAGAGCCTACGTGATGAATGTGACAACTACAGGGGGTATTAGCGTGCAACCGGTCCAAAATATTGTCTGTTGTTTTGCACTCTACGCTGTGTAAAAAAAGGCGAGAAGTTGATTCAAAAGGAGCAGTCTGGCTTTCGTTCAGGTCATGAATGCACTGGTCATGAGTTAACCCTTTGACTATTTCTAAAACACTGTCACTCGTATTGCACGCCAACAATTGTTATATTTCTTAACACGGAGAGTGCCTGCGAATCGTCAACGATTCCAAAGTACTGTTCTGCCCCAATTAATAAGTTAGAGACGGAGAGAGAGATGTATCTGAGAAGTTTATTGACATTTTGGAGGCAGCACTATAGAAGCAGCCAAGGTGGATTGACGGCACACAACTAACAATCACCGATATCCTCAACCAAAAATGGGACAAGGAAGAGTGGTCCCATTTCAGCTGAGATGTGTTGTGAAAATATCTGGCAGTAAAGAGTATGTATCTCGAACTAATCAAGGCATAGCGCAACAATTCCCTGTCCTCAATCATGGTTGCGAGATGTGACAATTGGAAGTGGAACACATGAAGAAGCTAGTTATCTCTGACCATAGGCTTCAATGTTCCATCTCCCGCGCTCATTGCTATAATATGGTAGGATGAGCAATATTGAGGTTATGCGTGGTGTTAAGTGAGGAAAGAGAATAGACTGATGAGGTTGTGAAGTTGCATCAATCGAGATGGCCAGGACACGTGCTATGCATGTCGAACCATCACCTTCCTCGCCGAATAATCTAAGCTGACATCGGATTAGGCTGGGCTAGAGTCTTGGGTGGTCGAGTCAAAACCTGACACCAATCCATGAAGTATCGACTGTTGATTTGAGTCATTTAGAGAGGTGTAGACTATCTGACCAGGATGCTCGAGACGCCAACAACTAATGGTTGTGGATTGTTGGCGGGATGATCCAAAATTGTTCTCAATGCTCTTGATGCATTCAAGTTTCTGATCTCATGAATACATTAAATTCTCATGATTCTAAAAGTAATCATTCCTCCTGCCATACACTTGTGTGCATCGGAGTTCTATCGGATTTCTTCTCTACCCCAATGTGTTATGTGGATTCTGGTAACCTTAACTTCTGCACAAAGTTCTAAGTCGAAAATTCAGTCAGTCAGACAATTCATCACCGCTTACCTTACTGGCCCGTTGTTCTGCTAATCGAGGTAAGTAAAATACTTGAGCGAAAAATGCATTCCTGAGTTCTAGTTCAGATTGATAATCTAAAATTTTGCCCCTGGCTACTTTCATGTGTAGTTATGTTATTAGCTTTATAAAAGGTGTCTGGTTTATGGATTCTTACTATCAATGCAGAGTGGCTAAGTCATAGAATTGCCTTTGACGTTTCGGTGAACAGTACCATGCGTAGAGAAAATGAGGTATAGAGATGCAGTAAACAAGGACCAATTTACCACAAGCCAAAATGAAATGGACAGCTGAAAAGCTTTCACACTTCCGTCGAAAAAAGTGGGGAGAGAAACCACAATACCTCTGCTGAGGCGAGAATCTATCGCATTTGCATCGAAGATACACTGAGTAAAGAGTTGATGTCCCTCAGAAACACTAATTAAGAATGGATAAACAAGAGGGGCTTGAAAGACGTTCCTCGCTGCATCTCTACATATGTTCTTGTTCACCAAAAGGTCAAAGACAATATCTCGTTTCTCCTAACATCGGTGTCCTTAGCAATTCAGTTGCTCCTGCCGGTTAAGCATACACGCCATATAACAGAACGTTGTCTAGACGTTCACATGAACATCCAGCAACACAACTGTTCAAGGGTGGACATAGACGAGTTCAATTCTGTTGTGCATTATTACTGCTGGTCATGCATCATCATCATCATCATCATCATCATCAGAGACTCCATTCAGCGTGATATTTAAAGTAACATTGGGCCGGTCAAGGGGATTTCGCTTACATCTTCATGCAGTCGAAGCTCTTGCCATCCTCAAGGAAAACATCTTGGCTTTGTGCTCAGAAAGGTCTTCTCAGCCTCAGCGTTGACCCCACCTCTTGCATAGTGAACTTCATATAGATTCTTCTCAGGACACACCTTCGATTCTCTGTGTGCTTCTTTCTTATCACCCTTTAATCGATTGGTTGGATTATGCGAGACCATTCGACATTTATTACACATTGCTACTTCTCAAATACTTTCATTTATCTTTGTTACTAAATCACAAAAGCCTCTGACCCTTATTGACAATTGGCATTGTGCATATGAAACTATAGATAACTGTGCAGCTTTGATGAGACATTGCGAGGTCTCTTTGTTGACTTACTTCTTCCTTATTCACATCACATGAGAATTTTCCATACCTTGATGAAATCCAAATGCCCATCGACATTAAACGAGCTCATCCTTGTTCTTCCATTTTGTGACTGATTGACTGGCTTTCACTCAATAACCCAGCTAACTGTGAGATGTCCGCAATACTTGACTGGAAAATGTACTTCAAGTTCATCCCCATATTCTACAGTGTCTTGTGTCACTTGATCTTTGCCCTAATGAATAGTTCTTTGTAGCCAAACAATATAATGAATCAGAGCTTCTACTGATGCACACCTAAAACCATGATATCTATAAATACCATTCTACTTGAATGAAAACCAAACCATACCGTAATTAGTGGTGCATACATTACTGTTGTCGTCGTTAAGTGCCTACTAACTAATCCAAACACTCATCTCAAACCCTACAGCTACTCAAGAGAATTCGCCCTGCGTGACATTGAAAAGCAGGCAATTAGTATCAGCAATGTTGTTATCCATGATTTTTATTATCTACAAAAGTAGGAAATGCTCTGTACAATCGATAAACCAGAAGAAGGCATCAGTGTTTTGTCTACCGGCATCTTCAGGGTTTATGCTGTTCTCTTGATTAGATGAATTCCCGAGTCCGTATACACGGGGCCACACATTTCACCCACCTTCAGAGTGAATGCTGCATCCTCGAATGCTTTCTGCATTTGACCCCGACCAAAGAAATTTAAGTCGCCACCTGATGCCGCTGAAGAACAGTCACTCTCAGTTCTAGCAAGTTCGTCAAATTTACGTTCGCCAGATTCTATAAGTTCCTTGTATTCTGAAATCAAATAAAACACATGTGATCAAGAATTAAAATCACTGGGTCGATGAAATGTAACCAATAGAAAATACTCTAGAAATCGTTACAATTTTTAGATGGCTACCATAATGATATTCATAGTAATAATACTAAGTGTTTTCACTTAACTAAACAATAGTTTACATGTAACTGTGGAATACAATGTACTTACTTTTTATTTTATACAGCTTTTTTCGACTTCAGTGCTGTTGTAGGTTCCGAAACGAATCCTACAACTTAGAGGCAATATTTTTCATAGCCTCCCTTCACTCTGTCATTACAATGGACTAAATGTGAAGGTAAGTGAAAATAGTTTACAATTTCTTTCTGGAAATCTCTCTCCCTCCATGGAACAAACATTACCATTTAAAGAGAAAACCAGTTTCGTACACCATAGGCTTTATATCCACTCGTACTATGGGTACAGATGGAACCATCTTTCACAAATTTGTCTATGCCCAGTTACATTACCAGTACCAACAGACTTATTCATATAGGACGAATTAATATGAGGAAAAAATATTGCAAAGTTTTCGCAAGAAGAAAGCTCCTGGGAAAGCAAATGACGTATTGCTTCTAGCTGTCATTAAACAATTACCTACATGATATAGAAAAACGGATTTGTTGAAGTAGTGGGCTCATGACCTATGTTGCCGAGTAATACAACATTCAGGGGAAAATCTAGTCACCATTCTTTTAGCAGTGCATGCCACTAACACTAGTAAAAGCGTAAACACGTTATCTGGGAAGTGTTAATAGAACAGATAACGTGTCAAAAGGAATTGAAAAATTAAGCGACAACACTTAACCATCAATAATCACGAATTAGGACAGTTATCTGATGAGTATTCTCAATGCATACACTTCTATCATAAGAAGAAACTTACTTCTAATTAAAGACAAGGCCTCGTCTTTAGACCTCGTTATGTTTTGCTGTTTCCAGGATGAAGGACGCCGAGATTCCTTATGCTTTACCAGCAAGTGCGAACACCTTATTTTACCTGAAGACGACGAAGCTGGGTGTTGGGGTAATTCCCACTGAGATTCGTTTGTGTTAGTATTCACATAATACGTCTTTCCTTACGGAAATGTTTTATAAGCTAAGAAACATTAGAAACAAACCATTGGAGCTGATACGAGAAACCCAACCCTCAGGCAGTGATGACATGACGCAGTTAGTCCGTAGATAGTAGTACAAACCTGAAAGTAAACATTATATGAAACTAATACCACAGAATTACACAGGAAAAGTGAAGTTGTAGATTAACAAGCTGAGCCAAAACTAAGGAGTACACTGTTTCTATCAAGGCGTGTGGTTACTCATTTCACAACTCAAAAGGTCAGAGAAACTAGGTAAGGACGTATCAAATATCGCAGCAAGCCAGGTGAAAATAGGTATGTGAAACACCATTATAACTATGAGGTTTAATGACCTTCAAATGATGCGAAAATCTTTAGATAGAAATATTCGTAATATGCACTCAAATACATTTTCCTTATCGATTATTACACCACTGAGCACACACTCGTTAACTTGTTAAAACCATGATCATATTGTTTCCTCTAGCAAACGAATATCGCAACAGTGTCAAAGATAGCAAGTAAATCATTTGTGGAGATGTCTCATTTGCTTTAGCACTTGAAGTTTAGCCAATGGGTCCCAGTCCTGACCAAACAAGTTAGTATTACTAGTTGTCTCATGTCAACTGGCCTATATACTGGTATATTCTGGACAGTAGAGTTCAGTTGCAACGATAAAAATTAGTCAGTACATTACCGTCGATACGACTTCCCAAACCGAAGGAGTGTCCAAAACATTCAACCAACTATCCTTAAAGTAGGAATGAGTGCAGATCAGTCCTGCGGAATCCTTTCAGAAATAACAATGGATTAGGGGTGGTCAATACGAATCACAACATCAACCCATGAAGTTACTGAGGGTTGGTTTAAGTTCGTAGAGACGTACAGATTGCCTGCTTGTAACCACTGAAAAGCTTAGACTATGTAGCATGGCTCAAAATCATCAATAATGGCGCAGAAATACCTGTCATTTTCTCCAGGATACGCGCAAACTTTACTAGAGTAGCGTAACCCTGAAACACACCTTTGTGCTTATATATGTAGTAGTAATTGTCAAAGATATTTCTTTCTGGATTGTATATAATGTATTTAACTGATTCTATCAGACATTTTCTCTGTAGATCGAAGCAATACATTTCCGATATTTTACTTCTTACGCGCAGTTGGTTTATGCAAAGCTCACTCAAGTCAACATATCGACTGCAGGTGTTAAAATGAATAAAAGCGACGCACTTACAGTGACATGGTTTCCCCAAAAAGTAATCGCGTCCTGGAAGCTAGATATTAACAGGCCTACCGGGCATTAGAGTAACAGTACATGTACTGAAAATACGGTGTGGCATCAAGCTGTCATCAAAAAATATAGATGGGACGTTCTGAATTGAAATGAAACATTCAGGAGGACAGAATTGGAAATCATGATTTAAATCATTTCTTAAATTTGCAAGTTTAGGGTAGTACATATTCTTCCTTAGGTATGCTGTTTTTTGAGACGAGCTGTGTACATAGTAGATATGACTTTATGTTAGTTGTCGACTCAGGGTTAAATTTGGAACCGTAGGCGCGTTGTCCAAAGTTTTATTCAGTCTTAGAAAGTTAGGGCGCATTACAGAATGGTTAGGGCAGGCTTAGGGGCATTGTCCCACGTAAGTCTGCGCGCCCGAAAGTAATGCTAGCTGGGTGCTGCAACTAGGTTTCTCAGTTGGTCACGCTAGAAAGTCCAATATACATACAGAACTACGGGACCAAATGATGATCGAACTACGTACACAGAGCATGCAAGCCTTTCGTGATGAATGAGAATGTCAACTTCAAGATTGTTTTGAAGGTTCCCTAGCTGCGGGATGGCTGCCATAGATCAACTTCGCTGACCATCCCGTTTAAAGTACTACTCTACGATATCCTGAATACTCCGACTCTTAATGCATCCAAATAAAGAACCTAACCTCAAACGACTCAACTTACCACACAAATCTACCACAATGACCTACAACGAAAATAAATATCCTAGCATCCGATGTCCAATAGATAATTGAGGAACTGGTGTGAACGTCACCATTTCTCGATACTCATTTATTACTTCTTCGGAACTATCTTACGAGAGTAGTTAAGTGCGAACCTAATTGATGGGAGGCAGCAGGTAATTGCTAGGGGATCCAATATCCAATATCTTTTTACGAGCTAGTATAAACCAATTTGATTTCTTTGCGCTCGCCTCTTGATTGTAAGGTAGAGGTTCCTGATCTTTGGTAAACGTCTGTGTAGCTCGTCCCGCCACTCGACTGTCGTAGCTTTGGTTGACTCCAACAGGAGTAGTGCTGGGATTAATTATATGGCGTCTGTAGTATGAAGTGTGTTAAGACTGTTACTACTGTGAATGGAGTTGATCCTTTCACCAGTTAGTCTTTCGGTATCGTCGTCAATGGAAAAGAGATAATAATAATAATAGATATAATTAGTAAAGGTATTCAGACTAACAGACAGAGAAAAAAATAAGAAAACGTAACAACAGTCAGTCAACCGGTATACATATATATATATATATATATATATATATAATATATACCAGTAATAATGATAATAATAGTAATAACAATAATAATAATAAGTGTAGTTAAAGCTGTCAGGAGAGTAAGACTGAAGGGAATGTGAAGAAGTAAAACGACTAGTTTAATTGTCTACCTTG